TATATATATATATATATATGTGTGTGTATATATATATACGTGTGTGTGTGTGAGAGATGTTTTTGACAAAGATCACTTATGCTTAACTAAAAATAATTTTCTGCATCCATTACTCCAGTCTTCAATGTCACATGATCCTTCAGAAATCATTCTAATATGTCAATCCAGTGCTTTTATAATATTATCAATGTTGAAACAAAAAAAAAATGCTTATAAAAATGGAAAGTCATGGTCAGTGACCTTTAAACATAATGTATAACTACCCAAATGCAGACTATTATATTAGGCTGTTAGCAAATGATTGTTCTAGAAAAAAACTGAACACCATTAAACATTTGTTCCTTATTTGCTGAAAGATAACAATGTTTTCTCTAATCTCTGTTGTTCTCTTCTGATTACTCTCCCATATTGACTGTTTACTTTGCAGGCGTTTGGTGACAGTATTTGCCATTGTCTACAAAAATACTGCCTGAATTACAGTACGGCCATCCTTTATCTGGACAGCCTGAAGCTCAGGGAGGACTTTGGCTCTTTTGTGAAGGTAACCGTGGCAAGCTTGAATTTACATGGTAAATCAGGGCTTGGTCTCAGTACTGACAAGACGCGAGGTTCAGGCCACTGTTGGGTGGTTGTCAGGAACATGGTGACCAGCTCGCTGGTGAAAGAGTGTTGACTCCGCTACTTTCCCTTTCTTTCATCATCAGCTCTCGCCGAGTATTGTTCCCTGTTGTGTTCTTAAGCTGTCTCCGCATCAGTTTTGCCCTGTCACTTCTAGCTTTTGCACTCAGTTGCACACAAGGGATTTTGTTTGTCAGCTGACTTTTTATTCAAGACAAAATCAGTAGAGTCTCATTAGACACTTAACATTCCAAATCTCCTCCTATCCTTCACTCTTTCTCTCATCCAGTGGTGTGAACGAAACGAGCAGTGCCGCAGGCTGCAGCTGAAGGATCTGCTGGTGGTTCCTCTGCAGAGGTTTACACGGTACCCTCTGCTGTTGAGGAACATAGGGAAAAAGAGTTGCTCGGAGACCGAGGAGAACACCATACAGACCATCGTGGATCTCGTTGACAGAGCCATCTGTAAGTTGGTGGCATTGTGACAAATGAAAGTACAGGTGCACTGACATAATTCTAGCCAATAAGCAGATAATTAATTTCCTGTTATTATATCTGATAACTTTGGAAGGTTGTTTCCACCACAGGATAATACAAATATTCCACAAAAAAAAAAAAATATCCCACAGTTCAAGACTTTTTTACTCCCAGTTCTTAGAGAAATAGTCTCAGACACAAACTCGCAGTTGTGAAAAAATTCTGAATTGTGAGAATTTCTTTTTATTCCGTGGTGAAAAAATAAAAACAACAAAAGTTGCGAGAAGAAAACTTACAATTATGAGTTTAGAGAGATGTAAACTCTCAAATCTCAGAAAAAAAGTCAGACTTGTGAGATAAAATTACCTTATTTTTTGTGGCAGAAACAGCCTCCATAGATAACTGATAAATGGGCGATATTAAAATTATATGCTGCTGTTTCTCAATAAATTAGTTTTAAATGCTACAAGTGAATTTAGACATCAAAACATTACATGTACAGTATGAAAATTAATTTAATAGTGTTATATAATTAAATAATTAGCGCTTTTTAAAGACCAACTTTTAGTGAGCATTATATGATGGCAAAGGTAGACTAATTTTAAAAACAGGCTAAATAAATATCCAATATTGACCAATATTTATACAGGTGGCTCCATAATGAAATTTAAAACAATTTAAAAAACGATCAAGTAAATTTAAACGTCAAAATATTACATGTACAGTATGAAAATTAATTTTTATTTTGAGATAACATTTAACAGTGTTATTAAATGATGAACACTTTTAAAGACCAACCTTTAGTGAACTTTATATGATAGCAAAGGTAGACTAATTGTAAAAATAAGGTAAATAAACGTCCAGTGTTGGCCAATATACTGTATGTCTAATTAGCTCCATATTGAAAAAAAAAAAAAATATATATATATATATGTATATCTCTAGTATCATCTTTGAGTATTTTTTACAATAGTTGGGAAAATTGGTTTTCAATTTCAACCAGTTATTGTGACAGATAATCTGTGTTTCTCTGATGACACTTTGATCTCGTTTGGGTAAAACACTCATGTCAAACCAGGTGACAGGTGACTTTTCCTGTTCTCTGACTGCCATCATAGGGAAGCTGTTTGTGAGGCGTGTAGTGACAGCCACTGTGAGAAATGACACGCAGTGACTCTGTGAAAGACAGAGCTATTTTTGCCTCAGAGATGTGAGCCAAAACAGCTGAAAGAACACCATGTTTTAGTAAGCTATGAAAACGGGACATTTTAATTTACATGTCCAAGCACAGTTATCTTTTTATGAAGCATTACACAACTTGTCATAAATCCATTATGTGTTTATCAAGTACCCTGTTTTGATAAGGAAGCGAGATTAATATACTATGTTGTTTCATCCATTCGCATTAGCCCTTTCAACTGTGTTGAAATATTTTTGTTTGCAATATTTTTATATACATTAATTAAAATGTGTTGTTTGTAAGTTGTTATAAAATATATTTATTAAAAACTTTGTTTTCATAAAATAGTTTTATTAAAATGTATAATTTACTATGAAAAAATAGTAATCGAAAATGCACAATGATGGTAATGATCGTGTATGTTGTGAAACAATATAAAAATTAATATTTAAAAAAATATTATAGTTTTTATAAAATAGTTTATTTGTGTCTTTTTAACAAGAATTTAAAAGAAAATGCTCCATGATGGTAATGACTGTGTTATGTTGTGGTAGTGATACAAGATTTTGCTGATGACACAAACAACAAAATATTTGTAGTAATATTAAAGGGCAAATATTTTTGTTATTTTACAACAAATATCCCAGCAACTGGTTCTTTGTTATGGTAATGACATTTTGTGTTTTTTTATATAGCAAGCTAGCTGGCAGTAATTGAACTTTTAACCAAAAATACACTGAAGTTGGCTGCTATGAATTCAATAATATTCTCTACAGTGCTTGAGGTGATGGTAATAATCACACTTGTCATCCTGTCTTGACTTGTTGACCTGCTCCAGGGCTGATTTATGGCTAGACGGGCTTGAAATGATTAATAGGTTAATCTTCTATACAAAAGCAATCTTCTTCCAGGATGGCAGCAGCTCATTTCAACACACTTTATGACACCGCTCCCATAACCAATGTAAGGGTGTGTGTACAACTCTTCTTGGTGACTTTCATGCAATTAAAAAAAGCATATGAAGAGTCGTCAGATGGGTGTGGGGTTCAAACTACATGATCGTGTCATTGTTGATGAAAGAGCCTGTACTTGGAACGCAGTAGGAAGAATCTACAATTAAATTCAGTTGATTGTCTCCAACTGAACAACCAAAAACAGGATCTGTGGTTTTACAGAAGCAGTAATGTTTGTTTGGGGAGGTGTGGATGAACACGCTAACCTTTCGTGACCAACCGCCTTTGTGTAGGTGATACAATAGAGTTCCCACCCAAATCTCTCTCTCTCTCTGTACAGATGATCTTGACGGAAAAGTGAAGTGGTTAGACAACTATCAGAAGGTGAAGCAGCTGAAGGAAGCTCTGGTGTGGCTTCCTGTTTGGGAGCGAGACAAGAGGGCGCATGTTCCTGAGGTTTATGTCAAAATCTGTATCTTCAAGCATGCTATATGTTCATTTTAGTTTGATGTGAACTGCATTTTTAGAGATTTCAAGGCTGCGTGTGTCTGATCCTTCACAGAATCTGAAGCACTTGCTAAAAGCTGTAACCCTTGAGAACCTGGTGTCTCATCGTAGTCTTCTGCACGATGGGAAGCTTGTTCTCATAGGTCAGAAAAATAAATCCCTTTTTCTCATTGGTCCATTTATGCTTTTAGGACGGTCATGTTGTGTATGCTTACATGATTTTCTTTTGCACACAGAAAATGCAAAGATGCATGAGGTCTACCTGTTTCTATTTGACGAATTCCTTCTAATCACGAAGCTCAAGCGAAGCAAAAAGGTGCTGTTATTGATCAGTATTAAGTATGTTTATAAAGATTCAAGGAAAGTGACGATTGTTTGGTGTTATTACTGTGAAAGGCTTAGCAGCCCTGTTGACATAAATCAAAGCATGGGCGATGCGTCAGAGCGTGTGGCGGTGATGTGAAAATAGATTTGTTGATTCTGGCTGGGAGTGATTATTGATACTCCCTTTTACACGCTAAGGTTGAATAGAGATCAGTGGATTGTGTCAGATGATAGTACTGTACTGAATACTGTAAATGGAGATTAAAAGTTAAATATATTTATATGAATATACAGTGGGTACGGAAAGTATTCAGACCCCCTTACATTTTTCACTCTTTGTTATATTGCATTTTTTTTTAACCATTAAAAATCTTACCACCTTAAATAGTTATGTGCAGAGTTTTTAAAAATATCTTTTAATAAAAAAAAATATATAAACTAAAAAATAAATCATACATGTAATATTTTGGCCTCATCAAACAAAAATATTGTTTGATTTTATTTAACATTAGTTAACATTTCACGTATATTTAAATAATGTAGCATTCAGGTCTGGACTGGAAGGGCCACTTTTCACAATACAATTAATTCTTGGAAATTATGAATCAAAAAGTAAATGGATACAATTCCAATCTCATCCTATATTTATTATACGTTTAAATATTTTCTTTCACTTGAAAATACAGCACAATACAGAAGTAAAATAGGTTTTCAGTGCTGTTTAATATTTACTTTACGCAAAACTTTTAAACAGCTAATATCACATGCTTGTGTTTTTGTATTGTAGAGGTCTGGCGTGGTGGAGTCGAGCCCCCTGCGTTCGGCTGCGGGCCAAGAGCTTGAGCTCTTATTACAGGAGAGCTGTAGCTTCATTGTCCTGGACCAGCCTATCTCTCTGGACCGCCTGCAGTTAAAGAACATAGACCAGCTCAACGCCACAGGTGCCGACAGCACGCACAGACATACCATGACGCACTCTTTGGATTAAGATCATGTTGCAGTTGTTACGTAATTATTTAGTAATCCAGACATTTCCATTGAGGATGGACCAGCCCATGTGTGATCAGCACTGACACAAACACTGAAGTTCTCACTGATGGACTGACATTATGTCTCTGAATGTTTCAGCATCCGGTCTGCCCAATTCCTTCATAATAATGCACCAGAATCGTTACCAGCAGTGCATCGGTGTCTTCATTCTGCAAGCCCAGACTGAATCTGTGAAGGTGAATATTTGATCCTGCTAATGTTTTCTCAAAGGCTTTGATTTCCATCCAACACCCATAATTCACAAACTTAACCAGTGCTGGCATGTCAAACATCATCAGATTATTCAGTATTAACGTCAATTTGGCATGGCAGATGCTTTCTCTTTCTATTCATTCTGGAAACAAATTATGGTTTGGTTTACACAAAAATATTTCAACATTGATAAAAATAAGAATTTTTTCTTGAGCACCAAATCAGCATATTAGAATGATTTCTGAAGGAACATGTGACACTGAAGACTGGAGTAATGATGCTGAAAATTCAGCTTTGCCATTACAGGAATTTAAAATATATATAAACAGTTATTTTAAGTTGTAATAATATTTCTGTATTTTTGCTCCAATAATTGCAGTCTTGTTAAGCATTAGAGACTATTTGAATGGTAGTGTACTTGAATGGTGGAAAAAAAACTGAAATCTTAAGTTTGTCAAGGTTACATAAATTGGCAATATAATCTAACAGTGGTATTACACTGAACAAAA